CAAAGGGATGAGGTATCAGGCATCAAAGAACAAAAAATCATATCATTGTGAATGAAGGGGAGTGTGGAGTGGGGACCCAAAGCCCACCTATAGGCAAATGGACATCCCCTTACAGAAGGGTCTCGGGGAGGAGAAGAGCCAGTCAGGGTGCAGTGTAGCAATGATGAAACATACAACTTTCCTCTAGTTCCTAAATGCTACCCACCGCCGCCTCCCCCCTCCCCCCACCACTATCATGATCCCAATTCTACCTTACAAGTCTGGCTAGACCAGAGGATGTACACTGGTATAGATAGGAACTGGAAACACAGGGAATCCACGACAGATGATCCCTTCAGGACCAGTGGTAAGAGTGGCGATACCGGGAGGGTGGAGGGAGGGTGATGTCAGGGGCTTAAGTGGAGAGCAAATGTTTTGAGAATGATGAAGGCAACGAATGTACAAATGTGCTTTACACAATGTATGTATGTATGGATTGTGATAAGAGTTGTATGAGCCCCCAATAAAATGATTTAAAAGAAAAAGAATTAGGAATTATGAGCAAGTGAGAGATCTGTGGGGCAACATCAAGTATGCACACAGGTGCATGAAGAAGTGTCAAGTGGGAAACCGGCAGCAGGAATATATACATTGGAAGAAATAATGACTGACAATGCCCCCAACCTTATGAGAGACATGACGGTGCACACCCAAGAAACTCAATGAACTTCAGAGAGATCCGACTGAGATACATTGTAGCCGAAGTGTAAAAAACTGAAGACAAAGAGAATCTTGGACACAGGAAGAGAAAAGTAAATGGAGGGGGCTTCAAAGAGATCAGGGAAAATTAAAATGAAAAGATAATGGAATTTTCCCTGAACTTTTTGAAGTCCCCCCCTTGTACAAGGGATCTTCAATAAGATTAATAACTGATTTCTCAGAAGACATGATGGAGGCCAAAAAGCAGCGAGATAACATTTAAATTGGGGGTGGGGGGACCACCAAAAAAATCCATGAATCTAAAATTTCATCCCTTGAAAATGAAGGATAAATGAATATATTCCCAGACATATAAAAGCTGAGGAAAGCCACTGCCCAAAGGCCTGCAATACCATAAATCCTCAAGGGGGTCCCTTGATTGAAAGGAAAAGATATTAGATAATAACTCAAAGTCATAAAGATATTAGATGGTAATTCAAGGGTAGTTCTCAGCCAACCTCACTGCCATCGAGCCAATTTTGACTCAGTGACCCTACAGGACAGGGGTCCCTGTTAGTTTCTGTGCATTTTTAAGGAGGTATGACATTTCCTCTTTCTCCCATGGAGGTGCTGGTCTTGTGTTAGCAACCCATAAGCTAACCCCCTATGCCACCAGGGCTCCTTGTAAGGACAAAGAAAAACCATACCTTTGGTTTATACCTCTTCTTTTGGATACTAGGGGGCTTCAAAGAATTCACAGAAAAACTCCTTCATCTTTCAACTCAATTTTCCCACCAACTTTTTGAAGCCCTTGCATATGACTGAAAAGGTGCTTATATTTGAAAAGTTATAAATGTGAATGGACATATAACACAGTGTACTTTATGACAATATCAATACAAAGGGGAAAGACCATATGTTTCTCATTGTAATGAAGTTATTTCATTCAAACTGTTGTTGCTGTCAGGTGCCTTCGAGCCGGGTCTGGCTCATAACGACTCCACGGACAACCAACACAAGCAGGGCCCGGCCTGCGCCATCCTCCCAGGTGCTCTTGCGTTTGAGCCTGTGTTGCAGCCATGGCGCTAACCCATCCTGTGGAAGGGCTTCCTCTTTCTGGCCGCCCTTCTCCTTTACTCACAAGAGGTGGTTATGTTGTGAACAGTCATTCCTTAAGCAACTACTGAGAAAAAAAGCCAACTATAAGATCTATAGAAAAAGAAAGAAGAAGTGAATAAAAACATTGCACTGTAAATATATAACTAAAAGAGGGGAGAGGAAAAGAGAAACTGAGGAACAAAAAAGAGGTGGGATGGCTACATTATCAGACAACATAGATTTAAAATCCACAAAGGTTTACAAGATACAACCAATGAAAACAAACCAAGCTCACTGAAAACAGGTCGATGCTGACTTGTAAAGACCCATAGGATAGGGCAGAACTGCCCCTGTAAGCTCTCAAGACTGTAACTGTTTACAGGAGTAGAAAGTCCTGTCTTTCTCTTTATAGTTTCAAACCGCTGACCTGCAGTTAACAGCCCAATGCACAATCGCTAGGCCACCAGGCTCCACAAGATACAAAGAAGGCCATTATATATTAGTACAGGGTTCCATCCAGCAAGAAGATATAACAATTCAAAAAAATACTTGTACCTAACAACAGATTTTCAAGATAGTACAGCAAACAAAACTTAACAGAACTAAAGTGAGAGACAGTTCTAGAATAATACTAATGTGAGACTTCAACTCAACCAGAGAGAAGATCAATGAGAAAATGGAGGAAGTAAACAACACTATAAAGCAATTAGGCTTAAAAGACATCGAGTACTCTGACAATGTTCAGCTTCTATTTATAAGGTTTTCAGCGGCTAATCCCTCAGAAGTGGACAATTTATTCCTTCTTCACAGCCTGCTTTTAGTCTAGAAGCGCTGCGGAAAGCGGTCACCTTGAGTGACCCTGCTGGTATTTGAAATACCAGTGGCATCGCTGCCTGCATCACAGTAACAAGCAAGCCACCACAGTATGACAAACTGGCAGACAAGGGGTACACCAGAAAAGAATCAACGCACTTGAATTATAGTGCTAGCAGAGACTATTGAAAGTACCGTGGACTTCCGAAAGAACAAACAAGTCTGTCTTGGAAGAGCACAGCCAGGATGCCACAGCCAGCAGTGAGGAGGACATGATTTCACCTCACCTGCTTTGGACCTATTGTCCAGAGAGTTCGGTTCTTGGGAAAGGACATCATGCTGGTGAAGTAAAAGGACACCGAATAGACGCAGACCCTCGGTGAGATGGGCGGACACTGGGGCTGCAACAATGGGTTCCGACTGACCGACAATCTTGAGGATGGCCAGGACTGGACAGTTTGCTGCACAGAAGTGCCAGATGCCAACTTTACGGTTAGTGGCAAGTGCATAATGACAACTTGGAGAGTTTGTAAGGATGCTTTTTAAGCCTAAAACTGCTCTTTATATTTTTCTCAGCGATCCCAACAGCAGTCTAGCTGAGAGGAAGTCCTAAGAAGCAGAAGAAGGGCGAGCATGATGGTGGGGCAGGAGGAAGGTAAAAGGAAACTGGGGAAAGATCTAGGAAGCAAAGCTATGGATAGAGGTATAAACATAGTTGTGCACTTATGTAAATATATTAATTCATAACAATAGAGGTATTGGCCTAGGTACATATCTTTATGTGGCAATACATTGAGGAAGTAGACGGACTTGGGCTCAAGCCCTCCCTCGACACAAGAACACTTTGTTCTAACAACCTGGCATTCTATGATGCCCACCCTCCTGACACAATCACTGAAGACAAAATGGGTGCACAAACAAATGTGGTGAAGAAGCTGATGGTGCCCAACTATCAACAGATACAGCATCTGGGGTCTTGAAGGCTTGAAGTTAACAAGCGGCCATCTAGCCCACATGGAAGAAGTACACACCAGCCTGTGTGATCGTGAGCTGTCAACAGAATCAGGTAACAGGCACCAAAAGACCCCAAACAAACAAACAAAAAACCATACTGTGGAGAAAGAGCAGGGTCAGAGCAGAGGTGCCAAGCCCATCTGGAGACAATAGGACATCCCCTCACAGAGTGGTCACAAGGAAGGGATGAGTCAACCAGGATGCAGTATTGCACTGAGGAAACACACAATATTCCTCTGGTTCTTTGGGGCTTTCTCACCCTTCACCATCATGACTCCATCCTGCCTTTCAGTTTTGACTAGACTGGAGCATGTACACTGGTACAGATAAGAGCTCACAACACATGGAATCCGGGTCAGAGAAACTCTTCAGGAACAGGAGGATAAGGGTACAGGTGGGGGAGGAGGGGGAAAAAGGGGAACTGATCGCAATGATTAATGCATAACACCTCCCTGCCTCCAGGGGGACGAACAACAGAAAGATGTGTTAATGGAGACAGTAGTCGGTGTTGAGATATGAAAATAA